CCCTGAGGGGTGACCTCGCACATTAACCTTCCTGGGTCCCCTCCCTTACTGCGGAAGCCCCTTCTCTTCCTTCCTGCCCAGAGGTAACCACTGAATTCAATTCGTTTCTACATTATTAACATCATGTTTTCATTATATTCTTCATACATGTGATCATCAATAACAGAAATTATTTTCAATGTTGGTAAAATTCACATCGATGTCATCCTTTATATACCCTTCTCAATGTGCTTTCTGTGGAAAGATATTCTTTTTTTGAGATTTGTTTCTATCAATTCATGTAGATTGAAAACTGTATACTATATTGCTATAATTTCTTGATACAAAGCTTCACACACTAGGCCAGGCATGGTGGCTCAGGCGTGTAATCCTAGCATTCTGGGAGGCCCAGGTGGGTGGAACCTTTGAGCTCAGGAGTTTGAGACTTGCCTGAATAACAGCCAGACCCGTCTCTACTAACAAAAAAATAAAAAATGGAAAGAAATTAATTGGACAGCTAAAAATATATAGACAAAATTAGCTGGGCATTGTGGCGCATGCCTGTAGTCCTAGCTACTTGGGAGGCTGAGGCAGGAGGATCACTTCAGGCAGGAGTTGAGGTTGCTATGAGCTAAGCTGACACCATGGCATTCTAGCAACACAATCAATAAGACTGTGTCTGAAAAGAAAAAAAACAAGGATAGAAAACAAACACAAAGATAGTGGTTCTAATACTGGAAAGGATCAGTTAGCTAAGACGTGACAGGGAAACTAACATGGCTTCTCCTTACACCCCAAATTTGCCAGTTTTTAATTGAGAAACCGAGATTTCTAAGACACACAACTGTTTTGATTTTAGGACCAGGACATACTGTTTATCTTGAGCAATCACTTATTTTTTTTGTAACAGACTCTCACTTTGTTGCCCAGGCTAGAGAGTGTGCCGTGGTGTCAGCCTAGCTCACAGCAACCTCAAACTCCTGGCCTCAAGCCATCCTGCTGCCTCAGCCTCCTGAGTAGCTGGGACTATGGGCATGCACTACCATGTCCCGCTAATTTTTTCTACATATATTAATTGGCCAATAAGGTTTTTTCTATTTACAGTAGAGACAGGGTTTTGCTCTTGCTGAGGCTGGTTTCAAACTCCTGACCTGGAGCAATCTGCCCGCCTCGGATTACAGGCGTGAGGCATCGCGCTCGCTGCAATCGCTGATTAATA